GTTTCTTCCCTTGTTTCCCATCACGATGTCCTTACTCATAGTTTCAAGTGTTCGACCTTTCAAGCGTTCAGCCACTGTCATCATCCCAGTCCAAAACCTAAAAGCTTCCAGTGGTGCAGCAAGTGTTCGCTGTAAATAGTGTAGGGTGGTGGTTCTGAAAGTCTTTTGGAACCACCTGAGGTGAAGAACCTCCTAAATCTCGAAGGAGACAATCTCATGAGGACAGGCTGGAATGCTTCCGAAAAGGGGACTATCATGAAGTGACAAACAAAGTGACAAAGTTTCTTCAAACCTAGATTTGAAAAAGAGAGTTTATGCATATATAGTTTGCTATAGTTCAGTTCCCTAAAAGTCTATGAACCAAATGAATGGTGCGAGCGCATCTTCAAGGCTTCAAGGAAGCGTGAGCTATCTTGCGTCCATATGTAGTAGCTACCTAGCTTCTACTAGCTACATCGTTACATCTAGCTACTACCTATACCTCTTCTACCGGCCTACCCCCCAAAAAAAAATAATCAAACATATAGCGTGGCACCTGTTACTACTAGCGTGGCACCTGTTGATCAAAAATAACTCACCTCCAGGATGCACTGTCTCAGTCTAACCGTCGTTCTGACTGTCTCTAACCATCTCGACTAACCGTGCGAGGATGGTGCGAATCCTGCGTTCGGGGCCGCTTTGGGACGCCTTATCCTCGGTGAAGAGGCGCGAGGGAATAGCGTCCTTGCTCCTAGTAGCGATGCCAGGAGCTCCTAGTAGCGTCCTTGCTCCTAGTAGTAAGGCCAGGAAAGTTTACACATGGAAGAAACAGAAACACTGCGTAGTCAGAACGTGCTCAGGATGTCCTTACCAAGCGTCGCGGGAAGAATTCATGTAATCTTTGAAAGAGCTTCACTGGGTTTTTGCGCTCGCTGTGCGTTCGCGTTTGCCCCTTGAGGTCGAGGTAGACGAGGCCTTGGAAGAAGCTCGAAGAGCCGTGGGATCAATGCCGCAGATGCGCAGTCCTCAGAGATGACTTCGTAGATTTTGATCCAGGTGAGGTTCAAACCGAGGTATCTAAAGGTCTCAAGAAAGAAAGAATGCCAAAATGCCTTTTGTGAGTTTTGTTTCTGGTAATTTGTAGCTTTCTTCCAGCGAAGTCAAGGCCAGAAGAGAGTGAGCCAAGTCTCAACCTCACCTCGGAGGTCTCACGCATCAGGTCGGGATGGTGAGAGCAGAGAGGCAGTAGCTACTAGTAGCGTCCTTGTTCCTAGTAGTACGGCCAGGAGACCCTAGTAGCGTCCTTGCTCCTAGTAGCGATGCCAGGAGCCCCTAGTAGCATTTGAAAACTTGCAGTTTTTGTTGCGCTCTTGAGCTCTTTAAGCCCCCAAGCCTTAACCTCGCCTACCAGTAAGAGTGCATCTTCGGTTGAATGTCAGGCTGGCGGCAGTGGATGACTACAGAGAGATCCTGGGGCTCAGCAAGTCCCTCAGTGCCAGCTTATGCGAACTCATTGATGTACAGCGTAGAAAGTACACTTTGAGGGGCAAGGACGCTACTAGGGCCTGGCCTTACTACTAGGAACAAGAAGCTACTAGGGGCTCCTGGCATCGCTACTAGGAGCAAGGACGCTACGAACGTAGCTCGTGGCCCTGAAGAAAGAAGGACTGCACATTTAGGTAAGTCCAAAACGTCCAAAAGAAGAGATTGCAAAAGAAAGGTAAGGATCTCTTTAACAAGGGCTTTTAAAAGGACCCTTTATGTAAAGGGGCTGCGCCCTACTTTTTCCGATCAAATATTTGAAGCTTTTGTCAAGACATTCATATTAAGTCCACATAAGTCCATCATAAAACTTTTGATGTCTTAATCTCTCTCGGGCGAATCCAATGTTACTTGATTTGTTTGAGGTCAAGAGGGTGACTTGGAGCTTTCTGCAGTGCAGTAATGGCCTCAGGAATGGCCTCCTACATGTGCACATCAAAGATGTACAGCAAACAGATGGACGCAGACCAACTCTGCGGATTGTGCGATAACGACAAAACTGAGCGTCCTTGCTACTAGTAGCGATGCCAGGAGCTCCTAGTAGCGTCCTTGTTCCTAGTAGCGATGCCAGGAGCCCCTAGTAGCGTCCTTGCTCCTAGTAGTAACACCAGGAGCCCCTAGTAGCGATGACCTTTGCTCCTAGTAGCGACAAAACTGCAGGTCGAAATATCGTCAGATTATGCGGCTGCTTCATCCAGACAAGCGAGGTCAGAGAGTCAGACGTAGATCACCAGAGGGCATTGGGCTAGACTAAGACTGCTAAGACCAAGGCTTGCCACTTGCCACACAGAACTAGATGAATCGAAAGAGTATGGCAAGTGGTTGATGTGCTATTTTTTCACGTTTCATGTTCTTTTTTGAGGTTGGGGCGGGGTGGGCTGCTAGTAAGCTTAAGTAAGCTAAGGAGGGCAGAAGGACTCAGACTCAGGCTTGATGACTTGCTTCCTAGGTGTTTGGGAAAACTTGACATGGTTTATGTATGCTTTTGAGTTACTAATATCGATGGCCTCCCACCTAATAGCGATAGCCTCCAAACTAAGTTTATGTATGTTTGTTTGACTTTCAGTTTCAACATCAAAGATGCGAACGAATCTTGACAGATGCATCAATGGGCGCAGCCTCGCAAACGGCCTGTGATGAGGCGGGCAGACTTCAAAGGCCCTAAAGAGCCTTTAAGAACGCGGTCTTGGTATTATTGCTTTTGCTAAAGGTGCGAATAAAGGAAAACATACTAAATGCAAAGGAAAGAGAGATGAAATGGAAAATGCAAAAGTTTCCCAAAGCAAGTGTAGCGTGCGTGTTTCTGCCAGGGGCGACTCAGTGCCCGCTTGTTTCTTGATTTTCTCCCATCGTCTGCATCAAACAGTAGTTGTCCTTTTTCCATAAACATGAAGCTGGGTTGGAGGCCATCGCCATTCGTAACTCGATAAACACGTAATTCCATTCTGCCGAGAGACTTCACGTGGAAGGCCATGGAGCGCGTGCAGCAGGCGCTACAAGGTCTTAAGAAGGAGCGTTTGCTGCGGAGTCGTGGGGCCTTCAAGCATTCCGCCCCATTTGTGAAGGACAGCGTTCTACATAAGTTCAAGAACTCAAGCCATTTTGAAGCATTCGTGAAAGCTGTTTCGTTTTTGCTAGTCAGGGCCTATGGCCAAGAGAAATGAGAAATGTGATTGTTTCAAAAGATGGTTTCGATCGAAACTGATTGACAGGAGATAGAGGTCGGTCCAGATCCTTCGTTTGTGGCCAGACAAGGTATGAGGACCTGACCTTAATCCTTTTGGCTTTGTCTTCTTTCCGTGTTTATGTGTGTTGTTTGACATGTAAACTTAAGCCTTTCATGTGTCCCTGTTTTCTGTTTTTCTATATGCTTTCATGCTATGTGTGTTTTCTTTTTGCGCCAGTGCACCACTCAGGCGGATGCAGGAGCTCCAACGCTTACGGGCGCAGCAAGCGAGACAAAAGCAACAGGAGCACCAGGCAAGAGACAAACAAAGATAGAAGCCGATATGTGTTTGAAGCCATGGCCACGCCTCCCTCCTTAATTGAGTAAGTGAGAAGTAAACATGCTACTAGCAAAGTAGGAGGCTACTACCTACTGGACGCAGGATAGCTCACGCTTCTTCAAGGAAGCTCCCCCCGCCGCCCCAATGATTTGGTTCCTAGTAGCGTAAGGCCAGGAGCCCCTAGTAGCGTCTTCTGTCCGGTCTTCAAATCTCGTCATGGGTTCTGTCGAGTTCACTTCCCAGAATGGTGATCAAAGGAGTTTCTAGAATGCTGGTGTTCTCATTGGGAAGTCCCTGCCAGATGGGTGCGCTGATTCAAGATCTAGACCAGGCAGGGAGTTCACATGAAGCACGGCTTGCTTTTCAAGTCTGCGTTTCTGCAAGAAAGGATGCAAGAAATTACAAAGAAATGACAAAGAAGAAACTGCTGAATTGTGTTTGCTTTCTGAGCTGAGGCCAGATCCGCTGGCGAGGCTACATCGCGTGGTCCTTGGTCATGCTGAAACGGGAGAGGACCTTTGAAAGCCTAATGTCCAAAATAGAACACGTTGGAGGCCATTGCTATTAGTAACAAGGGCATCGCTACTAGTAGCAAGGACGCTCTTAGGTTGGAGGCCATCGCTAGTAGGTTGGAGGTTATCGGACCTATTTGTTCGATTTGCCAAGGTCTCCCAAGGAGGCAGCGGCTTGTGAATTGATATGAGTGTTTCTCAAGCCAACAATCATCCAAAATGGAACAGACTTGACCATAAACTATCCATGTGGCGGGTATGCACTTGGGCACCCGACGTAAGAGATGTTGCATAATTGTTTGGTCTTGCCTGCAGCTGTCATGCTTTTGTCTTGGATGACACGCATCAGAATCAGATGTTTGGGCTTCAGAAAGCTTTGAGAAGTGTTGGGAGCATCGAGCTAGTTGAGATCAGCAATTCTTGGTCGAAGGATGATGCCACGAGTCAAATCCTACGGCTGCTGGTTTGCTTCCTAGTTTGGATGGCATGTGGTTCACTCATTGTGACAATAGCTTAAGTACATTCATGTTGGCTTGGTGGAGAAACCGTTGAAGGGTGATTTGCTTCACCGCTGTCTTTGACCCTATCACTGAGTCCCAGCTGAACGGCCAGTGATGGGATGAAGATGATGCACGAGCAAAAGCAAGTGAACCAGATGTGCGTGTTCTCAAGCGAAATGAAGTCCTTCTAAGCGTTCATGTGTTTTTTAGCCCGCCCTTGCTTAATTAAGTAGGCGCCTACTTAATTAAGTAAGGGACAAACTTGTTTGCTCCTAGTTGCCAAGACGCTACTACCTACCGGACGCGGGATAGCTCATTTGGTTCCTAGATTTGTGGCGAAACTGAACTTAGGAGGACGTCACAGATGTTGAAATGCAAGTCATGCACGCATCATGAAGCAAAGGGGAACGAGCTTGAACATTTTGCTGCTTTTGGCTCCAACGTCCCTCGAGTTCAGTAGTTACATGGCTTGGCAAGGCTCAACCACCGGAGGTGTTCGTTCTTCAACAGCTTCCTCCTTTCCTGCTCAAAAGTTGTTCACCTTTGGAAGAAAGGTAGGTGTCACGTACGTCTTGCAAAACGACGATTGCTTGCTCGCTGCCATATGGGTTGCTGCAGCTCAGGTTTAGAACCAGAACCCCTAGCCCTAGCTAATGCTCTCTGCACCCGCACGCACCATTGCTGGCACTCCTTTGACAGGACCCACTGCTCCATTGAAACGGCTGTTGTTGGCATGTTACTAGTAGCGATGCGGGCCCCTGCTACTAGTAGCTTCTAGCTGCTAGTAATAATACCTTTGTTACTAATTGCGATGCACTTGTTACTAGTAGCGGTTAGTGATGGGTCTTCTTCACCATGTGTGCTCTTTTCGCTTTGTGCGAGTTGCCTTTGTCCTCCAGGAGTGTATCAAAGGCATCCAAAGCAAGGCCGTGGAGAATATCTTCGCAAATGGCCGGTGCCATCAGTGCCATTTGTAGCGGTGGCAGTGGCATGTGCTCGGGCTGCCAAGAGGCATGGCTCAATTTGATCATCAAATGATTTTATTGTTAATAGTAGTTTGCTTTTTACTCCACTAACGACTGGACGTGACACGGTGCAGTACATTGTCTTAAAACACTGCTTAATTGCATTGCTTGATGACAAAAGTTCAATGCTTCGCACTGTTGTTCCAATTTGCAGAGTAAAATGCGAACCGCGCCGGCATGTTTGGCTCAGCTTTAGCTGGTTTCCACAGTGGTGTCTTCTTGATCTTTGTCCAACAACCATTCAAGTTATGCAACTTCAGAGAGATGCCGTTTGAAATTCTATGTAGATTGATATGATGACGTCAGAGTCAGAGTCATTAAGTTTCCTTGAAAAATCAAGAGGATCCAAGCAGACGTTCTTCCTCTTGAAAACAGATGCAGAACAACCACAGCAATTGAAGTTCTTAGGGAGGAAGGACCTGGAAGGAAGAAGTTTGAGCCGTGGATTTTCAAGAATAGTGCCTTTGCCTTAGAGTGTTCGTGCAACTTCCGTTCAGTATGGCTGGGCTTGGCTTGGCTGCCATGTGGTATACTTGCAAGAGCAAAGGGGGTTGAATCTGCTAGATCTTGTACTTCTAAACAAAGTTTTACTCCCTCTATGAGACTTCGCTTGCTTCCCTCCTCAGTGACCCTACTCATTCTTTGACTTTGGCCTCCAACCTACTAGCGATGGCCTCCAACCTAAAATAGAGGAGGAAAAGCCAATGCTCTTAGCTACTAGTAGCTTCTTGCTACTAGTAATGCCCTTGTTACTAGTAGCGATGCCCTTGTTAGCGTTTCGCTTGGTTGAGGTCTCAGATGGCTTTGTTTGACTACGAGGACTTGGACGTTGCGCGACGCTCAGAACCTCGCGGTGTTCTTGCGACGCTTTAGAAGGTCATGTTTTGTCGAAAAGGAGTACATTGCCATTGACGGGTGAGAACAGAAAACACCCTGGAGTGAACCAGCGCCTTTCTTCACCTCGTTACTTAGCCTCCAGTTTGGACCAATGATAATGCCTTCCCCTACTTTGAGTTGCCTGTGTGCAACGCTGCTTGCAGAACCTGCCAAACACCGAGGCGGAAGATGTCAAACAGGCTAACCCTGTGAACGCTGACGGCTTTGTGTGATGATTTGAATCTCTTTCTGCCAAACAAGAACTCTGATATACTCCCATGCTGTCGCGTGGTTTGATTTATGTTGTTACGTTTCTCCTTGATTTCCCGTGGTGTCTCAGCTTTTGAACAATCCTTTCAAAACTGCAGGTGTCGTTGTCTGCTCCCGCACAGGAGAGCTTGAGGCACTAAAGACCGCTAGACTCGCTCCAGTCGAGATTGACTTTTGATGAAACGTTCCAGGCATCTCTAGACTTAGACTCACATGTTTACTACTAGGAGCAAGGACGCTACTAGGGGCTCCTGGCCTTACTACTAGGAGCAAGGACGCTACTAGGGGCTCACATGTCAGACGAAATGGGATCCAAATCTAAGATGTCAGGTCTCTAGTCGCGGACATGAGCTCTCGGGTGGACAACATCAAGGCGAGAGTGGACGCGAAGGAGAGCATTCCCTGTCTTTCTTTGCCACGAAGGAGTCACTTCGATGAAGTTCCAAATAGACACGAGAATTCTTCACGTCGGAGAGACAGGAGCAAGACCGGCCGCACGCGCGTCGCCGGCAGGCAAGGCTGAGTGTACATTCAAGAGAGTGTTCGTGGACTTGTGTCCTTCCTCTCTCCTTGTTTATGCTGAAGTGTTTCACAATACGCATCACAACCTTGCTTCGACGATCGATCCATTTCATCCAATGGACTCAACGCCGTGCAAACTGTATCCTGAAAGGACATTTTTTGTTGCCCAGATGGGTTAGGCGGATAGAGAAGATTTAGCTAGTAGCTTAAGTAAGCATGCAGATAGGAGCAATGGCCTCCAACCTACTAGCGATGGCCTCCAATCTAATAGCTTCTAGGTAGGACGCAGGATAGCTCCACCTTACAATTGCGAACTCTCCTTGGACATGGTAAACGACTCTCCACGCTTGGCAGCAGCGTACAACTCGGACAACGGTAAACGGGTTCAAACGGACTTGAAAACCACAACTGGGCCACAACAGCCAACGTGTTCAAAGGACTCGACCCTTAGTCGACCTTGGCTGATAGAACTGGATGGTCTCGGATGTGCCAAGCAAAAAACCTGATGGCAATGGCCTCCAGCTCTACCCAAGGGTCCTCAAGCAAAGGAGGCCTTGTTTTGCTTTCATCTACGAGGGAAGGAGCATGAGCACCTAAACGAATCAGCGTTGCCACCGCAAGCTGGCCATCCAAGCTCTTTGACTGGGCTCTACAATTACTAGGAGCAAGAATCTACTAGGGGCTCCTGGCCTTACTACTAGTAACAAAAGCTACTAGTTTACCTAAAGATGAAAGTGCGAAGTTGCTCGCGTGCTTGCATGGACATTTCACATTGGAAGGCCACCGACGCAGTCTCACATGCTTCGCATGGGCCTTGAAAGATTGTTGAAGGAAAGAAATGTATTCCTTACTTTTTGCCCTACTCTTTGGCTCAGTCGAGATGGCAAGTGATGAACTTGAAGACTTGCGTAAAGTCTACATGTTTGGCTTCCGCTTCTGGTCACTGAACGATGTTTTGCTAAGCACTTCTTCAATGCGCTTCGCTCTGTCGCTCAGGTTGTCGTTCGCAGAATTCCTGGGCCGAGCGGAGCCAACGGGCGAAGCCAATTCCAGGAGACGTTCCGAAGAGATGTCTTGACAGCGCAGACAGTGCACACGCGGTTTCATGCACTATCTTTCTACGACCTGAGAATGCGTTTGGACAGTGAATTCCTAAGTGCAAGGGCCCCTATTGCCTGTTGCTTCGAATTGTTTCGGAAACTGTTCGATACGAAAGACAAAGGCTCAGTAAGCACGCTTTGGCTGTTTCTGTCGGGCAGGGGTCTCCGAGTGGCACGCTCACGCACGGACTGCGGGGAGGCGAGAGATGGCGAAACACCAAAATACAGATCTCATTGGAATGTGTTCTCTATTGATCATTAAATCTATATAACTGTATAAGTTGGAACAAAAGAAAGGCAATCTCTCTATTCGCATGCGTTTCACTTCGGAATGTTTTCTGGACATGCCGTTTGGTTCAGAATGCCAAAGCCTCCTCACGAAGATTGTTTTTAGATCTTGACACCTGAGGTCCAGCTTTTGGACAGCAAGTGTTTGACAGCGTGAAGTCTTCAGTGATACGAGATGTTGATGATGTTGTTGGCAAATAGTAAGGGGAGTAAAGCCAAGTCCCTCCTACCTAAGAGCGATGGCCTCCAACCTTAAGTTTCCCTAAATATCTAGGAACCAAATCATTAGTCCGAGCGCTATCCTGCGTCCCCGTCGGTAGTAGCTTACTTGCAGCTAGTAGCTACCTCTTCTACTAGCTACCTACCTAGCTAACCTACCCCTACGGCCTGCCCCTCCGGCGCCAGCGCGCGCGCGCGCGCGAAAAAAGAAAAGGACAATGGTTTACGCTAAGTATTAATGTAAATCTAAACTAAATATGAGTATTACTAGTTATTTACTTTTTTTTAATTCTAAATAGTATTACTCGTTTGTGTTTTGGCCCAAGGAGGTTTCAAGGCAAAAGACGTCAGCTCGGAAGCTTGTCGTTCGGAAATCAAAGAACACAGGCGATCCAAATGGTGGACTGCGACGAGTACTTGTTGGTGGTGACCGGTGAATTTCAGCCGTGCACAGAGACAGTGGGAGAAGCATCGGACGACTGACAAGAGTTCTCGAACCACCATGACTGACGTGCTTCTAGTAGCTTCTTGTTACTACTAGTAAGGCACTTGTTACTAGTAGCGATGCACTTGTTCCTAGTAGCGTCCTACTCCTGTAACCGTTGTGCTTTCGGCTTTGGATATCGTGAGCTGAAGTTCTTAATCTTGACAACGTGTGCCAAGGCTACAGAAGGGCAAAGAGAACATCACGGTCGCAGAGGGGGAGGGTATTTACCTGGAGGCAGCAGTTGATTCTGCCACAGCAATTGACCAGACAAAGCCACTAGTATGAAAGAGCCCCAAGACTCCAGGTTCATTGTTTTTCCGGTTTCCCTTTCATGTGGATTGCAGGATGAGGCTCAACTTGCTTATAAAGCTTTGTCCTGCTTCCATGTACCCACACGGATTTGCAGTTGCTCCTTTGTGCACGTATTTCTACATGAAAAAGCTCCCAACTGAAGGCTGGTGAAAAGGTTGTGTGGAAGTGGGCCCAGTTCTCAGATGTGACAGCACTGTACCCGCATACTATTGCTTCTTGTTAGTAGTAAGGCACTTGTTACTAGTAGCGGTGCACTTGTTCCTAGTAGCTTCTTGTTTCTATTTGCTTCTTGTTACT